GCTTCTCATGGCACCTGAAATAACAGCTCACACTGCTTTGGTAAACGAAGGGTTCACAGTGATGGAATGCCTCTCTTTGACAAACCCAGTCATCTAATTTTATGAGACAGTGACTGTGAAAATGGTGGCAGACTGATTAGCATAGCTTACATCAAGGAAAAGAAAAAAAAGAGCGAGAAACAGCACATTGGCCCTAATGCTAGCTATATAAAATCGGTTTCAGAAGAGAAATATGCACAGATCAAGCACCGTTTACAAGTAAAAACAGTAGTAGTAGTAGTAATTTATTTTTATCTGCAGCATATAAGGTTATCTTCATGGCAAAACTGAGCTAGATTAATACAAGTGTTACACAAAATAAAAATAAAAACCGAGCAAACACAAAAATGGCTAATTAATCCAAGATTTTTAAATGAACAAAATCTAAAATCTCTTCTGGTAAATTCTCACTAAACAAGTCCCTGATTGAGCATACTTCATAAAAAATGCATTAAAACCAGGACAGTCCAATAAAATATGTTTAATGAAAAGGGGGGTCTTGCAGAACATGCATAGAGTTGGGTCTTCGCCTTTAAGCAAAAAGGCATGGGTCAAGCTTGTATGACCTATACGAAATCTCGTAAACACCACTTGATTAAATCTTGTTTTAAGGGAGGTAAAAAGTCTCCTTGAGACTTCAGGATAGATTTCAGAATTCATTGTTTGAACATGTATCTCACTCTTCTTGCCACTTATTTAAAGGGGTCATATGATGCTTTTTTAAAGATCATTATTTTGTGTATTTGGTGTAACAGAATATGTTGACATGCTTTAATGTTCAAAAAACACATTCTTTTTCAAATGCTGTACATTATTGTAGGTCCTCTATGCCCCGCCTCTCTCAAACGCTTCGTTTTCTACAAAGTCCCTCCTTCCGTCAAGCGCAGTCTGCTCTGATTGGCCAGCTGACCCAGTGCATTGTGATTGGCCGAACACCGCAAGCACTCGTCGGAAACCCCTTACCATAATCGCGAGCTTCATCTTTCAAAATAAATGTAAAGACAGAGCCTGAAAGGGGAACAGAGTCGTGTGACAGACACAGTGATGAAGCTGGTATGTGTTTCTCTCTCTCTCTCACACACACACACACACAAACACGATGCACACACACACACGATGCGCAAAACTCTGCATTTGAACAGTCAATAGCAAATACTTAAACTAATAACAAAACAGTAGCTGATTCAGAAGCGCCAGATTGTCATACCAAAGTCAGAACTACCTCCTCTCCTAGCGTGCACATTTGGGCAGCATTATGCAAATATTTTCACATAGTGAGGTAGATATGTGGGGGCGTGTTAGAGCGAGCCGTTTTAGGGGGGCGTGGCAGAATCTTAACTTTGATAAAGAATATCTCTTTGGTTTTGAGACTTTAGTCTTTGCAACTTCAGGGATCTTATCTATTCACGAACAGCTTGTAACACTCCAAAGAGAAAGGAAAACTTGAAATCGCATCATATGACCCCTTTTACATATAATGATTGATTGTAGGCTTAAGATCTGATGAAGGAATTTGACACTCTTCAACTTCCAAATATAGCCTCCTTTGCAGCAAAGTTAAAACATCTTAATGATGGATTTATTTCTTAAAAATATGCAGCTTTTTGCTTCACAAGACATTAATTGATGGACTGTGTGAATTTGGACTAGCTGTTTGGACTCTCATTCTGACGGCACCCATTCACTGCATTGGATCAGTTGGTGAGCAAGTGATGTAATGCTACATTTCTCCAAATCTGTTCTGATCAAGAAAAACTAATTTACATCTTGAATGGCTTGAGAGTGAGTAGGTGGAACTATTCCTTAAAGTGATCTTTATACTTTCCAAACACTTAAAGGAACAGATCACCCAAAAATGAAATTCTGTCATCGGTTTCTCATGGAAATGTCATTCCTCTATGACTGTGATCCACTCTGGCTTTTGTTCATCTTTAAAACAGCAATACATTTGAATGAAACTTGAGAGATTTCCCTTCATTAAAAGGCTGTTCCACCAAAAACTGTGACGCTTTGTAAAACAAAACAGTTTAATCCACAATCACGTGACAAGTAGAATTAATTTAGACTTTTAGTCACATGTAATTACTGATCAAGCCACATATCTAGATCTCATCAAATATGGTAAACAGAAGCTCAAACATGCTTGTTTGACACACAAGAACAAACTTCATTGGGTTTACTAAAACCTCATGCATTTCATATTAAAAGAAAAAGATAAACTAATCCTTTAATATTAAAAGCATAGTAGGATTCGCAAAAGTACAACATAAAACAGAGAACATTATTCCAGTAGAAAGTCAATATTTGTTTTTCAATAACAACAGCCTAAGCACTGAAGTATGTCAAATTCATAGCACTGCAATGACGAGAGGTTGTTGCACTAGAGCAGGGATGAGCAAGGTAACTACCACGTTCAAGGTCCAGAAAAGTACCAAGAAAAGCCGCCACACGCTTGCGCCATGATACTGTCCTGTACTGTCCTGTCCTGAACGCGCGTCCACAAGTGACGCAGTAGACGAAAATGTGGAATAAAGTCGTTATTTTTGTTTTCTTTGCGCAAAAAAGTATTCTCGTAGCTTCGTAACGTTACAGTTGAACCACTGATGTCACACAGACTACTTTGTCGATCATCTTGGTACTTTTCTGGACCTTGAACGTGGTAGTTACCTTGCTGTCTATGGGAGGGTCAGAGAGCCCTCAGATTTCATCAAAAATATCTTAAATTGTGTTCCGAAGATGAACGAAGGTCTAATGGGTTTTCGAACAACACGAGGGTGAGTAATTAATGACAGAATTTTCATTTTTGGGTGAACTAACCCTTTAAGAGAAAAATACTACCCATATTATGTAGAAGGCTTTGAAAATAAACAAATCTAAAAGAAAGAGGATTGTTAAAAAATATTAGCATTGCCAAATGCTAAACATTTTTTGGGTTTTTCTGACAGATCTTTTAACACTCAGTAGACTGACTTTTATTCATTAGATGAACTAAAGTTTTTCAGTTGTCGGTTGATAGTTGAGTTAACAAGTTGAGCACGATAGGTTGCCTTATTTTTTTGAGTTAGGTAAACTATTTATTTATTTTTTCTACAGTGTGGCAGATTTCACGTTAACCCCCCCCCCAAATCATTTATATCTGAAGTCTCTTTCAATTATTATTATAATCTCAATTGTTATTCATTCAGTGAGTGTTGGACATTTACAGTATCATAAAGTCATACTTCAACCACAAAACAGGTGGAAATGATCCTCACGATACACTGAAATATAAAAGCTCTAAAGACCACTTTTTTACTGCATTGTAGTTGAATTATTGCTTTTATTTGACATATTTGCTGTGTTCATAGGTGTGTGTACGTGTGTGTGTGTGTTGGTTTTGCACTCTTGATGTTTTAGTGTTTCACCCCATTATTGCTGTGTACTTTTTTCTGCATTGTGGCAGATTTGTAGATTGTACACACAAAAATTCTCTGATTTCCCATTCATTTCCTATGGTTGGTCCTTTTTGACCGAAGACCAAGGGTGACTATTTGTTTTTTTAACGACCACTTAGCCTGCTTGAATCATGCCCTTTTTGTGCGTGTTCACATTCCAAATGCCATAAAAGTCCCCAAGTTTCATCCCATTGTGAAGCTGTGATTTAAAAAAATTCTAAACAAATTTTTTCTGTCAAAGTGACCGAAGAGAACCACAGGGTTAAAGAAAAAGCAAAACATTTGATTTATGATTATTCCCTTAGGAAAATTAAACACGGTTTTATTGTAATAAAAGTGTGGTAAACATGTTTTTTGGTGTATTGATTACCATTTGTATAGTTTTACTACAAAAAAAAAGGCGAACCATGGTTAATTTGTGATTACCATAGTTTAATTATAGTAACCATGTTTTGTTTTTAGAAGATTTGGGGGGGGGGGGAGATATATATATATATATATATATATATATATATATATATATACATACAAAGATTCAGTATGCAAGGGAACAACATTCTGTGCTTGTTTTTTGTACCAGTGGAAACAAAGTTCACTGATTTGAAATGAAAGCAACATCAATTGTCAAAATTAGAGGGTTATAGGCAGACAGCCCACAACCTACAGTATTCACAACAGATCAAAGTTTACAGAAAGTCTTTACTGTAAATGCAAGTTTAGATCAAAAATAAAAAAGAACATGAATTTAAGCAATTGTTTGGGTTATTTACAAGATTACATGACTTCTTAGTACAAATATAGAAGTAAAATGCACATATTTTTCAGATTAAAATATATTTTTTCATATTGTTATACTCATATTTAACATTTTTTCTTTAACTACAGCAAAATACCATTCAGGTCCTTAAGCTCTCCACCCAGAGCAAAGACGTGCCAAGAGAGTCCACAATGATCACTTATTAAACACTTATGAATTAACATAAAACTATTATTTAGCATGTGAATAATACAGTGAAAATTACATGGAAAAAAACAATAACAAAATACCTCCTAAGTCTATGATAGACATAGCTAAGTGCTACAATGAAGCATTATATTCCACACACACAAAAAAAAACCTGTTGTTTGCATCAGGTATCGTTAGCCTCAATTTCCATCAGTCTTTTCTAACCGGTGACTACTGTTAAACTGCTGACTAGACCCATCAATCCAACACGCATGTGCCACAGAAACTGTCACACTGACATTAGCTTGAATCATTTAGGGGTTTCCTCTCAAAACACAGGCACATGTAAGTATTTCAGCAGTTTTAAGGAACTCTGTGTGCATTCATTTGAGTGTGAACTGTTTGCATGTTCTCTGGCGCCTTCAAGAGGATGAGGAGCAGAGTGCGATCTGCTGGACTGTTCCCAGGTCAGTCAGGAGCTGTTTGATGCGATGTTTCAGTTGAGGGAGGCGCGCAAGAGGATCTGGAGGTTCCAGTTCACCCGTGTAGTCTAGCCAACTCTCCAGCACTGCATAATGATATCGACACGTTATTACACATATCAAGCAAATCAATCTGAAATTGTTATGTTTGCGGTTTATTGATTTTTAAACCAGGAAATCTGTTTGTAAGAGTCTCACCGTCTAGTTCTCGCTCGATAAGGTCCATTCTGTGCGTCACCTGGTCCTGCACTGCTTCAATGTGCTCCAGCAGGTTCAGCTGCCACTGCTGGTGCAGCACAAGGTCAGGGTCAGGCTTTGGGTCAGGCTCCTCTTCCTTGACTTCTACCACACAACTCTTTTCCTGCTCTGCGGAAACCAGTCGTTTCATACGGCACTCCAGCTCCTGACAACAGAAACCAATGATGTTTGGCGTGTACTGATGTTCTCATGTTATTGATGATGAATGAATGAATGACGCATGATAGTAATTCAATAATCTAAATGTGTCATCAAGGAGACATTTGTTTGCGGTCCAAAACAAATTAGTTCAGTTTTTTATATGCACAGCAAAACAATGCATGAAATATGGTGATCTTCTGTGTGGAAATGTGCACGTTGCAACTATTTGCTGACAATATAGGCCTGTTTACACCTGGTTATTTTATGCAATTTCTCTGATCGGATAGCTATCTGATTGTGAAAATACCAGGTGTAAATATCCTCCAAAACACTTTCGAGATGGATTTAAATTCGATCACTCAAACCACTTCAGGAGGACGCATTCCAGACGAAAACTGGACAAGTGTAAATGCATCTGGTTGTTGAAACCACTCCTCCCAAAATATAAAAATAATAAATGTGTGAGCGTTTTATAGGCTATACGACATGTTATAGTCAGATATGACAGCGCTAATGCAGCACGCATCCCCACGGATGGGTATCTGAGTATCTCTTCAGCAAGCTGACACACAAACTGATGCAAATGAAACTGAAAGTAAGCCGCAGACACAGAACACAATTATTTTCATTAAAAGTATTAAGCCTGACATTTTTAAAGTCCTGATGCCACTCTCGCTCCTGTTGCGGTTTTTGATCTTGAAATTAGCTGATGATAAATCAAATGCAGCACATATCTATTGCTTTCATTGACGTGAACACCGTTAAATTTGCGCACAGCGCAGGAACTGAAGATCGGCTTTATATCCGTTTTTGTAGAGAAACATTTATGTGGCCAAGTGTAAATTGAACCGTTTTAACAAATCAGATAGCTATCCGATCACAAACGCATATAGTGACCAGATGTAAACAGGCCCTATGACAGATTTTGAACTGGTTTGAAAACAGAATTTGAGCTGATTGACAACAGACAACAAATTGGTTTAAAACATTTTTTTTTTTACATTTTGAAAAAGACCTTGAACTGTTCTTGACGAGATATCAAACCGATTTAAAAAACAATCCCTAACTGTTATGAAAACAGATTATCAAATGGTATGAAAACATTTCAAACCATTTTTAAAATCAGACTTTGAATTGTTTTGGTGACAGACATCAAGCTGGCTTGAAGACAGAAAAACCAACCGTTTTGAAAACAGACTTTGAGCTGGTTAAAACGAGACATCAAATTGATTTGAAAATAGAACTCAAACTGTTTTGAAAAGAATTCAAAACAAGACTAAATTGGTTTTAAAACTGTCCTCAAACTGCTTTGAAAATAGATATTAACTGGTATGAAAACAGATTTCAAACATTAAAATCAAACTTTGAATTGATTTGAAACAAGTTCTCCAAATGATTTGAAAACATTTGAATTCTGACAATGTTGCAACATGAATTCTCAGATTGACTGTGTACAGTGTGCACTAACAAAACATAACTGTGAGTCTTTAAATGTACACTGGCCAACAAGCTTCTTTCTTGTAGTGTGCATTTGGCAGAAAAGCTAACAAGTTACTTGTAACTTACCTTACTAAAGGAGCGGTCAGCTAGCTGAAGTTTGTGCTGTTCGTGGTCCAGCTGCGTGCCGTACCTCTGCTCGGCCATCTCTAGTAGGTCTTCGGTGCTCCTAAGACTGTCCTCCAGCTCAGAACCGCACCGCGTCTCCACCACAAGTCTTCTCTCCATCGCCGGGTAGTATGTACAGGGCTTCTGGTAGCAGTGCTCGCTGCTAATGTATGAGTCCTGGAAAGAGCAATGCGTCTCCACAGGCGATGGGACTTCGCTCTTCAATGTCTCAAACTCATTTGCTCCAATTTCAGGGGGTGAGGAGGGGAAGGGAGTAGCAATGCCCGAGTCACCTGCAGTCTTCCTCCGTAGGCCGTCTGCAGACTTCCAGGGCTGCCGCCAGAACTTCAGGTCTGGATGGGCTTGTGTCCTAAAAAGGGCAGCTTTGATTCATACCTCAGTCTTTCACTTTATTAATCAAACAGCTGGTCGCATCGAGAGTATACAAGCAGGGGAATTACTTACTGTAAGATGCTCATCTTCAGCTGAAGGCCATTCAGGACCTCAAACACACGGTGGACGTCCCCCAGGAGCTGATGGGCAGTTGCCACTTTCTTACTGTTCTGGTGGGAGTAGTTCTCCTCCAGGAAAGACAAGCCATACATGTGACCGCTGCTCAGCCAGTCTTTATCATACCAGTACCTTTGACTCTGCCTCTGGGCTGCATACAGAAACATGCATATTTAAAGATTAACTCAAAGCCAGACAACAAAATGTATTGAAGTGGTTGTTATATTTTGATCCTTGTTCTTTTTTGCCAACACACACAGACCAGACAGATGAATAACAAAGCTACTATATGCTAAACTGAGATGGTTTGGGGAAGTTCTGGTGTCTCACCTGGTGGGTCTCTGCAGATGTAGCAGCTGTAGCTGTCTGGAACACTGTCCTCATACAGTCCCATACACGTCCCATGCTGCCAGCACAAACACTCATCACACTGCAGAGAGCACAGGACACATCCTTCAGCCTCCCAGACAATTACTGAACTTGTATCACCAAAACACCAAATCAAATTTTTTCACATTTTATTTCAATTAATGCAGTATTTCAGATTAAAATCGAGACTAGGCCTTAAAAATCAAATTTTTGAAGGCAGAATAGCACCTCCTGGTGAGTGCAAAAACAACAACAACCTGTAATTTCATGATTTAACCACTAGATTCTTGTTAGAGGCTTGCGAATTCCCTAGTTGTTTTTATACATAATTGTTTACTTTTATTAGGTTGTGGATTTAAATGTATATTACGGCATTCTCAAAGACTACTTTTTGTCAAGGTTTATCTTTTTTAGTTGTTTTAATTGTTGATTTGAAGTGTAGATTTTTGCATTATTATTACTACTACATTCAAACCTGAACACAAAGCATTTTGTTACACAAAACATTAAAATTATATAAAAATATAACAAATTAACAGGAATGCTTTATCAGAGCTGAATCCTTCTGGGTCTAATCTGATTTTAACCTCTTATTTCAGTCTTCTGACTCATTTTGGCTATATGGTTATAGCCATTCCAATCCATTTGAGTGTGTATAATTGTGTGTGTGTGAGTGGATGTATCTGTTTTACACTCTTGATGTTTTACAATGTAACCCCTTCCTTGTGGTCCACTTTTTTTACTGCATTGTAGTTGAATTATTGATTTTATATTACATAGTTGCAGTGTTACAGTCACACCAGTTCATAGGTGTGTGTGTGTGTGTGTGTCCGTGCGTGTGCGAGGTGGTGTGTTGATTTTGCACTCTAGATGTTTTAGAATTTCACCCCTTCATTGACGTGCAATTTTTTTCTGCATTGTGGGGGATTTGTAGATTGTACACACAAACATTTTCTGTATTTTTTCCCCTCAATTTCCCATTCATTTCCTATGGTCGGTCATTTTTGACCGAAGACCATGAGTGTGATTCTTTTTATGACCACTTAGCTTTTTCGAATCATGCCCTCAATTTTTTTTGTGTTCACATACCAAGTGCAATAAAAGTCACCAAGTTTCGTACCATTCTGGTAAAGCTATGAATTAAAAAAAATTCAAAATGTAAAATTCTCCAGTCAAAAGTGACCGAAGACCGCACAAGGGTTAACAATATTCTTACTAACTTTCTGGGCCTTGAACGTATCAGTTGTGTTGCTGTCTATGCAGGGTCAGAAAGCTCTCAGATTTTATCAAAAATATCTTAAATTTGTGTTCCGAAGATGAACGAAGGTCTCACAGGTTTGGAACGACATGAGGGTGAGTAATTAATGACAGAATTGTAATTTTTGCGTAAACTATTCCTTTAAGCTGGATGATTATACTGTACTCTGCAGAGCTCAACTTTTACAGCTGATTTGCATCTTGTATTAACACTGATACTGAACTGAATTGAATCAACATTGATCTGACTTGAGCTGTTGTTCATTAACAACATTGCTGAATTGTGTGGAACTGCTTTGTGACGAGAGGGGCGGGGCCGAGAGCCGTGGGAACGGAGCGAGGCCGGTGGAGTAATTGCGAATGCGCGACACCTGCGCCACTCACCGGTCTCGAGTCTCACGGAGGAGCTCCGGAAGGATACAAAGGAGGAGTGACGACAGGGAAAGACGAGAGAGGACCAGGAATGGATTTTATTTTGTGTTTTGGTTTCGTTTGTGCGCGGCAGTCATCCGCGAGGGGCTGTCGTGCTATTTTGTGTTTATTTTATTATTAAAGTTTTGTTTGAGTGTTCGCCGGTTCCCGCCTCCTTCTTCCCGACCTACAAACGTTGTTGCATGCTTATAACTGAATTGAACTCGTTTCAAAACTGATTTTTTTTTTTTATCTGAACTGAATCATCACTGACCTGAGCAATGATGCTACTGTTTAATTATATATATATATATATATATGAAAATAAAATATATGTGAAAGTTCTAATGTCTGTTTTATATGCAATACAATCGAGTTTAGGGTCAAAACAGACTTTTTCATTTGAGTTTGGTTTATCAACAAATGTATCAAATGGAGGTCTGGTCCGATTTCAGAAGGCAGTAGTTCACCTGTATCATGAAGTCGTTCTCCTCCTGCACTTCACAAATACAGCGTACGATCTCAGAGCCATGAGTGACCGTTTCCACACCCTGCTCTGAGAGGGGCATGTTCAGATCCAGCTCAGCGTCAGACTCGTTAGAGAAAGTTTGCAGCTCCAGCAGACAAACAGAGGGGGCAGCAGAGAGCTGAAGACACACAGAGACACCACTGCACTAAAACAACCATCTCACCTGACTTCGACTTCCTTTTCTTCTTCTTTTTCTTCAGTTTGATGCGGAAGAAATCCCTCTGCCGCTTCTCCCTCAGCCTTTCCCGTTCTTTCGCTCCTTCAGATGAGAAAATCAATCTCTATTACTGTCATGGCCCGACTGTGGTAATATGCAGAGGAATCAGCGTCAGCATGTGCACAGAAATGGATGGAATGATCACGATGTTCAGCAATACCTGTTTCCTTGGCAACCCAGTCTCTGTCGTCATGCAGCGAGCGGTTGAAGTGTTGGTTCTCTTTGCTCCTCTCTGCGCCCAGCGTGGCCGAGCGCTGCCGGTGCATGCTGCCAACCGCAGGGGGCGACAGAGCGTGACCTGACTTACTGTCACTCAGAGGAGAGGGAGTATCTGTGGGAGGAAGTTCATATAACAGACACTTATTAATGATTTTTTCCCCTGTCATGTCTAACATAGCTGTTTGTGCATGTAAACTAGGGTTTTCAAAAAAAGAGGACAGTGGGGGCAGGATGCAGACGGGGGGAGTGGGGCCCTTAGTAGCACAATGACCATATCCCAAATATCAAAACTCAAAATATGTCATTACCATACCTAAAATAACTATTTTACATTTATGCAGACTTATCATAAACACAGCTAAAAGGCTTCCTACCAGTGGCCGTCCTTCACAAAACTTAACATCTACCACAGTTTTATCATTGGTAGAATGCAAAATGTTTCAATACAAGCATTTCAGTCAAATGTAAATTTATACAATATTTCAAACTTTTAACCTACGGAAGAAAATCAACCTGCCGCAACAGTTTAAAATCAGCCCAATTCCATGCAAAAAAAATGGAATGGAAAATTTGGCAACCTTGCATCCAACACGAAGCTGCATCCAAAGTGATTTAAATACTCCGCATATTGATAGCGGCTCCCTGATGCGTGAAAATTATAATGTTTGCAGGAGCACACAGTAATGGTCAGAAATTCAGCTGGAGCGGGATTAAGAAAACAGCACGCAGGGCTTTAATACAAAAACGCACACAATGAATGACGATTATAGAAAGCAAAAGCCGAATCCCAGACATTTTGGGCGATTTAGAAATCCCAGCCGGACGCATTTTTTTTAGGTCCAAAAAGAGGACATGTCCAGGGAAAAGAGGACGTATGGTCACTAGGGGTGTGACGAGACACTTATCCCACGAGACGAGACGCGAGACTGGGTTCACGAGAACGAGACGAGACGAGATTTTTAGACTTTAAAGAAATCCTCAATGATGAAATATATGGGGCAAAATAGTTTTTTATTCAACTGAAAAACAAAATGCAAAAAAGTAGGTGCATTTTGAAATCAACTTGTACTTTATGAAATTAAACATCTATTTTAATAAATTTTATGAAGTAATAAACATGTAAACATTGCAAAATGTTTTGCCACAAACTGAACTGACAGGCAAGTAATTGCACAAAAATTATAAATAGTATAAATAAAAATAAATAATAAACAACAAATATCCCTTTAAAGAAGGATGAAGCAGTCAGTCAAGTTTACATTATTTAGTAAACTAATTTCCACTTTAATAAAAAATATATAAACACGATTAATGTATCCATTTAAAAGAAACTGGGGGGCACGGCACGGCTGAGGGATAGTTAGGGCCCTATGAAATCCGTTTTATTTTTTCCTAAATTGTGAGGTTTTTTCCTTCCAAATTCCATTTTTTCCGTTTTCATTTTTCTCGACTCCTTTTTAATAGTTAAATTAAGTTTTATTAATTAAAATCATGAAACTTGTAAATTTTCACATCAATTTATTAAAAGTTTAACAAAACTTACATGTTTAGGGCCCTATGAAATATTTAATTTTTTCTCACCATAGTATTTATATTTTTTATTGTTACCAAATTCTGTGTTTTGGCATGCCTAATTATATGAATGCATAAAACAACTTAATTTATTCATTTTTTCTTTTCTTAAAGTAACCTTATGATTTTTTCCCCCCTCAGAAATTCTGTGTGTATTTACATTTTTCTGGTTATCATATGAAGGCATAAAACATTAATTTAATTTCATTTATCTTTTAATTATTGAAAATTAAGCAAACAAGATTTTTTGGCAAAAAAAGGGGATTTACTATTAAAATTAAAACATGGAAGAAATGTTTTGTGTCATTATTCCTTGAAAAAATAAAAAGATGTTTGTTTAATTTTAGTAGTAGTAGGTTATGTACATTCTACTGAAAAATAGTTATAGGCACAATGTCTTCAAATCAAACCGGACTTTTATTTTAACGGGTTGCCGTGAATATCTTTACAGTTCTGTGTAAGAGATATGACGCTAGTTTTACTCAAATCAAACGGTCAAATGCTCATGAAGTGACTCTCAGAGCAGTTCTGGAGATGTTGTTCATGTGTTTACGCCCTCATTTAGTGAGACGGCAGACGCTGAAATCACTGCGAGCATCACGCGCTTCAGAGTGTAGTAAATGAAACCGCGAGTCTGCGCCATTCATTAACAGACAGGCAGAACATGCAGGATTCATATTTAAATCAACTTTTGCGGCTTAATGTTTACAGATACTAGTCCATATTGTGACTTAAGTGTAATGACCTACTTTTGATTAATTCACAAATTCCGTGACATTCAGCGTTAAACTGTGAATTCTGTTTTTATGACTGGATAAAGACTACACTGCGTAATTTTCCCACTTATCATGTGGCCACTTGCCTGATGTGAACATAAAATATCTTACATACCACCACTTGTGAACGAGCCAGTGTAATGCAAATATATCTGAAAGGTCTGCGCGAGGATATAGTCACGTTCTCGAGTCACACCCCTAATGGTCACCCTATGTAAACGATATGCAAAGTTACAAAGCACAAAATCCACTGCAATGGGAGTTATAAACATTTTGCAGTTCAGACTTTTGTTCCCTCAGAATTCAGTTTAAATATCACAATTCAAACAACTGTGGGTCTACATCTCACAATTCACTTGTTACCACAGAACTGAGTTAACAATCCAGACTTTAACTCGCAATTACATCTCGCTATTCTGTATTTATCTGTATTCTCTCTGAAAGTTAAGATCTTTCAATTGCTCAGAATTCTGAGTTTACATGTCAAAAATAAAAAAGGTAATTGTTACTTATTGTTTTTCTTGTAATTGAGTATTTTTATATATTTTCTTTCGTCTGAAAATTGTGACTTATGAACTCATAATTGTAAGTTTACATCTCACAATTCTGTATTTTTTTTCTCTGAATTCTGAGTTTGCGTCTCGCAATTCTGTTTTTTCCCCCCACTTTTTATCTCACAATTAAAGTTTTTTTTTTTACTTGTAAACGAGCAATTATGATTTTAACTCACAACTACATTTCGCTGTTCTGTACTTACCTTTATTTCCTCAAAGTTAACATCTTTCAATTTCTCCAAATTCTGAGTTTACATTTCACAGTTCTTTTTTTTTATTTTTTTTGCACCACGGGAAAAAAAACAAATTGTGACTTTGTATTTCACAATTGTGACTTTTTTTCTTGTAATTTTGAGTGTTTTTTTCTCTTTCTTCCGAAAGTATAAAGTATAAACTCATTATTGTAAGTTCACAGTTCACAATTCTGTATGCATTTTCTCTGAATTCTGATTTTACATCTCGCAGTTCAGTTTTTCTCGTTTTGCCACAGAAATACACACATAAATACAGGTAACTGCGTTTTCTTTTCGGGGGCGTTAAGACAACAGTTTTCAACTAAAAACTGAAAATTGTATGCATTTCGCATGTATTTCATGCATGTCATTCTCATGACAACGGCATTTTTGGGAGCCTGAAAATGCAAACGTTTGAAAACGGGTTTCAAAGTGGACATTTTTGAAAATGATACCATTATCGTCTTAGTGTAAAGTACAAAAATGTGAACTTTTGATATCAGTGATATCATGTGCATGTGTATTATAGGTTAAGTGCACAGGTGTGTAGTGTTACTTTACAAAGTGATATCAACTACTGACGTGGTATGAATAATACAAAATTCTTAGTCATTTGCACGGATTTGTGTGGACAGGAATCGTTTTGAGAACGCCATCGTCCATACACAAAACTTTTCAAAAAATGCTAACTTTTACATTTTTAGTACATAATTGTCATGCATCACAGACTGGGCTTTTTGGAAAAGCTGGCTTTAAAGAGACTAAACCAGAGAACTAAAACAGAGCATTTGAGGCAGAGGGTGAAAAGAGGCGCTGCAACAATGTACAGTATGAGAAAATAAATGTTTTTTAACTTTAAATCATGTAAATGCCTCCTAGCAGACCCCCCAAAAATAAGGTGATGAACTTGTAAATGAGCATTATACGGGCACGTTTATAATGTGAATGCAAGTAAACACACATAAATATGGACAAAATGTGAACCGACTTCACCAGCAACCCATTCAAAAACAAACACCCACACAAACAGCTAAAGTAAATACTGATAGATAAAGTGCACTAACAGTGGGAAGACGAGACGGTCCGGCGCCTGCGAGGGGTCTCCTGGCTGTTCTGTTTGTCTGAGGAGCGCGTCTGGACGCAGCGAGGGGGGCTTGGGTCGCTCTGTGCGTGATAGTACTTCATGTGGTAGTGCAGCAGAGACGCCTTGCGGAAAGACTTGAGACAGCCTGCGATTTTGCATTTGAACGGGTTGTGGTCCAGCTCAATGGACAGGATAGGGGGCGGCTGGTTTTTGATGACCCTGTACACTGAGGGAGGAAAAGGGCAATGAGGTCACATACCGGCAGGTTTTTATACTGTATCGGTGAGACAGAGTGAAAGCGAGGGCTGTGCACTCACATGGTTCTCTGCTATACTTGTTTGTGGTTGGAAGGTGGATTGTTTGCGGCTGTTTGACTGCTGCAGCTAAGAAAGCAATGCATCAGTTAGCACATCACATAGCTGCATAAATGTCGAATTAACAAGATTTGTACATATTCTGAAGAAAAGGTGAGTGGTGCCTCATGAAATAGCAATAATGATTCAGTCTAAGCAAACACATTTGATGATCAAACTGAAACAAAGGAGGATGTTTACCGAGATCAGGTGTGGATCCTGCCTCCTCTTTGGGTGCTGCATTTTCTGCAGGACTGGTTGAGCCATCCTTACTTTCTGAAGTCTCCGGGACAGAGTCCGCTTTGATTTGGGATCGACTGTTTCTGTCTATGAGGGGATCAGAGTCACAATGTCCTGTCAGATGGTTTAATCACCAACTAGCATAAAGAACAGCAGCTGGAACAACAAAAAGGATAATACAAGAGAGTGAACCTGTGCTTGAATTGGCTCTGCTCCTTTTGGTCGGTGGCATCTGTCCTGTTGATGCACGTCTCTTCCTCAGTTCTGGACCGTTGGACTTTTCCACATCCTTTCCTGTGAGAGACACAAGCCAAGAAATTTAATCATCAAGTTTGAATCTAATACACGAGTAAATCACCCAACAATCCTCTACTTTCAGTCTTTACAGGAAAAACTTACCAAACCACTAAGTTAACTCTTGACCTGGTTAAAAATTCATTGCCACCAGCAAAAATAAGTAACTTAGTGTTACTGAAAGGCAGGACTCCCTGTCCTACAGATATCAAATTGAGCATCCCACTCATATTTGTGTGACCCTGGACCACAAAACCAGTTTGTTAGGATAGGACAATATTTGTCCGAGATACAGATAAATCTGGAATCTGAGGATGCAAAAAATCTAAATATTGAGAAAATAGCCTTTAAAGTTGTCCAAATGAATTTTTTAGCAATGCATATTACTAATCAAAAATTAGGTTTTGATATATTTACGGTAGGAAATTTACAAAATGTCTTCATGGAACATGATTTTTTCTTAATATACTAATGACTTTTGGCATAAAAGAAAAAACTATAATTTTGACTCATACAATGTATTTTTGGCTATTGCTACAAATATACCCCAGCGATTTAAGACTGGTTTTGTGCTCCAGGGTCATATTTATTCAAATGGCCCACCTCCTCTCTTGATACGGTCTCTCTATTAGCTACTCAGCAAATGCAGTCCATTGGAGTGTGTGAGGTTGAATCTAGCTCTTGGAATTGAATCATAACAAAATCAAATATTCAGATGTAACACCACCATGTTCCTCCAAACCAAACTCACCATCTGTCACCTTACTCCGTGTCCTTCTGGGCAGACTGGGGCTTTCATCTGTTGCGTTTTCCTTCTCTTTCTGGTCTCCGTCATTCCCGTCAACGCCATTTTGAAGTGCTTGGGACTCCTCCTGTCCTCCATTCATCTCTTTCTCCTCTGGTTTGTTCGCTTCTCCATTCTCAAGCGGTTCTGTCTTGTTTTCTTCACTGGGCTGTGTTTCGTTGTGCTCCGCAGAACTCGGCTCGGACTCGTTCAATATCTGAGCTGCTGTGCTTTCGCTCTCTCCACCGTTCTGGAGATTTCTGGACTCGTCAATCACTGTAGCGTCTTCTTCATCCTCCTCCGATTCGCTCTCCCCATCCTGGTCAGACATGCTGTGTCTCGAGCCGTTACTTCTGCTGCTGCCATTCTCCTTGGCCTTCCATTTTTTCCCATTCTGATTGCCCCGCTTTTGAGTCTGCTGATTGGTCTTGCCATTAGAGCTCTGTAGATAAAGACAAACTCATTAATCCTGTATTTTAATGGCCTGGTTTAATCATTATTAGAGCTGAGGCAATCACTTCTCATACCTTGCGGAACGGCTTCACCTTAATCCCCTTCACTGTCTTTATGACTCCATCAAAAAACTTCACTGTGTAGAAACCTGAGACACCACAGAAGCACAGCCATTTGTAAACACTTTCATAATGTAATGTGTGTACATGTCAAATACATAGCTACAAAAAAGATGCACTGATACTGATATATGTCGGATATTAAAATGAAATACTATTGTATAAAAACAACAATGAATAACTTTAATCAATTGTTTTGAATGCTACAAGTGAATGTAGGCATCACAACATTATAAGTAACATTATGAAAAACAGACATTTCTTTTGAGACTGAGATTCTAAATTCTAATTTTCTAAATATAAAACTTTCATTTAACAGTGTTATTAAATTATTAGTGTTTTATTAAGTAGAAGTGTCAGCTAAGGTAATAATGTAAAAATGTGTTAAATGGGCAGCACAATTAAATATGCAATGTTTAATATTCATATGTATGTATTACTGTACAAATGTTTAGGGTTAAAATACAGTAAAAACAGTAATACTGTGAAATTAACTACAATTAAATATTTTTTAAATTTGTATTATTATTTATAATAATTTGTTATTTTTATTTTATTATATTTTTTAAAAGTGATTCATTTTTTTTAAATACTTGAGTCTCACAATCATTTAAAGGGGTCATATGATGCGATTTCAAGTTTTCCTTTCTCTTTGGAGTGGTACAAACTCTTGGTGCATAAAGAAGATCTGTAAAGTTGCAAAGACTAAAGTCTCAAATCCAAAGAGATAATCTTTATAAAAGTTCAGAGTCAACCACGCCTACCTAAAACGGCTCGTTCTAACACGCCCCCACATGTCTACATCACGATGTGGGAAGATTTGCATAACGCCGCCCAAATGTTCACGCAAAGAAAGGCAGTGTAACTTTTATTCTCGCTGTAGTATTGTTGTTGCCTCCGCCACCATGTCGTGAAGCGCTGTGTGTTTCGTTGTGAAAGCGAAACTACTTTGTTTGGTCCGCTTGAGGTATTCAGCCAATCACAACGCACTGGATAGCTGGCCAATCAGAGCACACCTCGCTTTTCAGACCAATGAGCTTTGTAAAAATCGACGCGTTTCATAAAGGCGGGGCACAGAGGAGAAACAATAATGTACAGTATGTGGAAAATAATGTGTTTTTTAAACTTTAAACCACATAAATACATTGCATTACACCAAATACACAACATAATGTTCTTTTTATCAACATCATATGACCCCTTTAAACATCAGCCAAAAACAATGGTACACTATTATGTTTCGGCTGCCAATTTACTCTGGGCCATTCAGAAAATAAACTTAGCATTAATGATGTGAGTGTTGTGAGTACACACCATCTTTATCCCGGGACATGATCTTAGCAGGGTAGTACCGACAGTCTGACCAGCTGGCAAGGACTTTCTGGTTGACATGAAAGCCCTGAGAAGAGAAACATATCTATATATATAATCTTGCAACATTGAGTCAGAGTACAACTTTGCCCATGCAGACTGTGAGTGACTCAGCACAGTTAGACAGGAAGTGCTTACTGGAGCGCTCTGCCGTTCACGGAGACCTTGTTTCCTCAGCTGGATTCGTTCCACAGGTCTGAGGTACGGACTGCTCCAGTCAAACCATTCATCATAACGATGACTCCACTGCCTGTAGTGAATCAAAACCTTCTCGTCTTCATAGTCGATCTTCTCAATGCTAGCTGCATACCTGTCAACACAAAACAGACAGAGTTATTTCAGATTAGTTACAGATTACAGCTGGGTCTCTAAAGAAAGGTTGAAAATTGTTTGCGGGGAGAATGAATAAATAAATAAATACTCAGCTGGAAAAGCACAACATTTGTGGAACATGATTTAAAATGCTAACTTTTTCAAAAATATTGGAATGCAACAGAACTAGTGGCATCAGCGCCAGTGAAGCATCTGAATTTCAATCAGGCCGAGTGAATGAACAGATGGAAGAACGGAAGCAGAGGAAAGACACTGACCAGTTCTTCAGACTGTCCCTGGCCTCCAGCTGCGCTCCCACCTCGAACGTGATCCCACGCCTGTGAGGAGTGCTCTTTGACATGCTGGTCACACACTCACACACCAACCTATCGAACCAGAGAAACACATCATGAGGTCAGAGGTAAAGGATGCTATGGATGTCATGGACGGCACAACCTAACCAAGCTGCTCATAAATAAACAATACACTACAGCCTAAGGTACATAAGAGAGACATTTTCCAGCACTTTTCCCAACAATTTGATTAGACTTTTATTTCAAAGCTGATTATTTCAAAGCTTATCTTGTTCCCAATACAAATTTTTATTAGTGCCAGGTTTCAGCTGTGCATTGGTTATGTACTTTAAAATATAATTTCAATGAATGACTGAACTTTTGGGTGATTGGAACTGTCATTTTTCACCTCCAAAAAGCTGGCATGAAAAGATACATCACAGTTTAGATAATATTTATTGAATATTGATATTGGATCGATGCTATCTAGGGTGTAATGCAGGGTTCCTCAATAGGCGGCCCGCGGGAGGCCAAGAACCACCAGACGCGAAGTGCATTTAAAATCCTTTAATGCACTTACAAATGAGGAAAACAGAAGCAATCAAAACCCCAAAATAGAGCAATAATATGCCATATTTACCACATCTCTCATGCTGGTTTGTTTACAGCATGCACAAACCTTTTGCTTCAGCGTGATTTGTGTCATGCTCAAAAAATACAACACAACAACTCACAGGAAGTGATTATCAGCTGGTTCTTAACAGCGATCGATCTGAAGCAACACTAAATGTGTGTTGTTGTTGTTGTTTTTAAGTTAATTGTTTTAAAATCATGATTTGCATTAAGTTTTGATCAACTATTTAGAAATCATACAACTGAACAGCAGAAGGATTCATAAACAGTAATTATGATGGTTCTAAACGATTACTGACTGTCCATTGAGCTCACTCATGAAGAACTGATCAATAAATCATCAAAAAAAACTACACATTACAACAAGTCATAAACAAATACCTGTCATACACACAATAACCTCAGAAAACTGACAGCAGAAGAGGAAAAACAGGTTATGTAAAAATAAGGAAAGGGACAAACAGGAGATATTTATGTACACTGACTCAAACTCACCACATTCATTAACCTCCTCATTCAAACCAACAGCATACTTTGACATGACCTGTAAATTGTCATTGTATAATTGTATTATTACAAAATCCTTGAGATGTAGTTTAATAGTAAGGTGCCACTATTACTCATATTGCATGATGATAAATACATTAATAAAAACAATCACAATGTCATAGCTTTCTGGAAGTAATAACAAAATACATTACTGTCGTTCAATAAGACACTATAATAGGCATGTCGCAATAATCAATATATCAACTTATCGCGCAATATATGTACATGACCTCAATCATTTTTGATGACGCAATATATCGGCCATTTTATTTACTTAAAAAATAATGTCAACAGGAGATATTTATGTACACTGACTCAAACTCACCACATTCATTAACCTCCTCATTCAAACCAACAGCATACTTTGACATGACCTGTAAATTGTCATTGTATAATTGTATTATTACAAAATCCTTGAGATGTAGTTTAATAGTAAGGTGCCACTATTACTCATATTGCATGATGATAAATACATTAATAAAAACAATCACAATGTCATAGCTTTCTGGAAGTAATAACAAATTACATTACTGTCGTTCAATAAGACACTATAATAGGCATGTCGCAATAATCAATATATCAACTTATCGCGCAATATATGTACATGACCTCAATAATTGATGACACAATATATCGGCCATTTTATTTACTTAAAAAATAATGTCACCATGTTCTGTACGTTCCACTTGCACCAGTGTCTTTTGCAGCTTCTCGTACATAACGTGGTGTAGTTGGTGCTAGTTCAAATTTTAAAAAATGCTTCTACAAAAAAAGTTTCATCTGCAGAAATGTAAGTTGCTTTTAATGGATGCTTATGATATTTCTGGTTTTCTCAGAAGTGGAAGTCGTAACTGGGTTCATTTAGTAATGCTGCGTTCAAGTCTATCCCATGAGGCCACGCGAGAGGAGGCGCCATATTCGAGAACGGCGGGAGGCGGCGACGCGGCTCTCTTCAAGAGTAAGTACCTTAGAGAAAAACGTTGTTCACTGTGGTTAAATTGCACTTGTTTAACATGATCTAAGTGAACGGCTGACTTATTGAAAGTTTAAACATTGTAAGTCGATTAGATGATTTCGTGAGTCGGCTGTAAAAAGATGTTTAATCGCCGATGAAAGTGGTAAGAATTACGTGAAACACTGCTGATGTTCGCAGTAGTGAGGGCTCTTTAAATTTAGGCGCTGTTGTGGCGACGCATGTCACGTGACAACGTCAACATGGCGGATGTAGTATGTCCGAATTCCATTCATACTACTCGCATTCATACTATATAGAACGTACTTTTTTAACGGTCGAGTAGTACGTTCAAATTCAAATGTAGTACCTACTAAGCAGTATGCGATTTCGGACGCAGCCCATGTTTTGTACGTTCCACTTGCACCAGTGTCTTTTGCAGCTGGTGTAGTTGGTGCTAGTTCAAATTTAAAAAAATGCTTCTACAAAAAAAGTTATCTGCAGAAATGTAAGTTGCTTTTAATGGATGCTTTTGATATTTCTGGTTTTCTCAGAAGTGGAAGTCGTAACTGGGTTAATTTAGTAATGCTGCGTTCAAGTCCTCCGTTCGTACTTACGAGTTGACAAGTCGTAATTACGACGTCAGGTGCGTTCAAGTCAGTTTAGTCGGCACAAGATGGCGGTGTACCTTCTTTTGATAAATTACAAGAAAATACAGGGTCTTTTAACTCTGCTTATAAAAAATGAAGAGCAAAGAATTCGCATCAGGTGTGTTTTGCGTTTTTAATAATTTTTTTAGACCAGGATCCCAGTATAACAAATTTTCAGCTTCAACAAATGCTAAAATACAGAGATGAAAAAAAGCTGTTAACTAAATGCAACATGGCAAATCAAAAGATTTTTCACCTATAGGTGCTAAAATTATAGCATTTTTTTACTTGGATTTCATTAACTAGCTGTGTAACAAGAACATGACCAATTTAAGTTTATAGGACAACTAAACTATCAATTTAAACAAAAATTTACCGTCAACTACAGATTCCTCCATGTTTCTCATTGACAGACACGCTCCCAACTCGGAAACTCGGGGCTTAAAGAAAATTTAGAGTTTCCCACTCGTAATAACGACTTTGTGGTGTGCGTTCAACTCGTAAATACGATCTGTCCGACATGACTTGAACGCACCATTAGTGTTGGGTCGTTCTTGAATGATTCGTTCATTTTGAACAAATCTTTAATGTGACTCGGGAAGAACGAGTTGTCTCGGGGAGTGATTCGTTCAGTCGCGCATGCGCAACCAATCAAGTAGCTCACCTGTTTCGAGTCTTCGGGTTTTCCTGAGTCGTTCAAAACCCGAAGAAAAGAGCTGAGGTGAGCTAATCATAGGCTGAAGACCCAGCAGGTAAACATTGAATTCATCTTTTCTGTTTCTTATAGCATTATAGTTTTGTATTGTTTGTAGTGTGATCAGCGTTTGCGTAAGTAGTAGTCGTGTTAGGGAAGTAACACGTAACATTTTAATTATATTTTGCTCAAATGAACGAAAGGACTCGAAAAAGAGATTCGTTCATTGTGCTGCACGAGCCTCAGAGAGCCGAGTCGGAGAAATGATCCGAACTGCCATCACCAGCTTACATTTTACATACGTCATAATCGCGGGAAACCGGCAGGTTTGGTTAAATCAG